TTTTTTTGTTTCATGAGATAGGCCTGCAATGCTATGAATTTCCCTCTTAGGATTCCTTTCTCAGTGTCTCACAGATTTTGGATTGTTATGCCCTCATTCTCATTTGTTTCAAGGTATATTTTAATTTCCTCCTTGACCTTGTTGACCCACTCATTACTTAATAACATGGTATTTAGCTTCCATGTCTTTGCGTGTTGTTCTTGTTCTTCTTGTGGTTGATTTCTAGTTTTATAGCATTGTGGTCTCAGAGATGCTTGATATGACTTCAATCTTCTTAAATTTACTAAGACTTGTTTTGTGTCCTAGCATGTGGTCTATCCTAGAAAATGTTCCATGTACACTTTGAAAGTATGTATAGTCTGCTCTTTGGGGGTAAAATGCTCTGAAGATATCTACTAAATACACTTGATCTAGTGTGTCATTTAAGGCTATCTCCTTGTTGATTTTCTGTCTGGATGATCTATCCATTCAAGTCAATAGAATGTTAAAATCCCCAACTATGACTGTATTTCCATTGATCTCTCCTTTTATGTTCATCAAGATTTGCTTTACACATTTAGATGCTCCTATGTTGGGTGCATAAATGTTTACTAAGGTTACATCCTCTTGTTGGATTGTTCCCTTTATCATTATGTCATGTCCTTCTTCGTCTCTTACTATAGCCTTGGATTTGAGGTCTATTTTGTCAGATATAAGTACTGCTACCTCAGCTTTTTTTATTTTCATTTTCATGAAATATCTTTTTTCTTCATTTATATTCTGTGTGTCACTTTCAATCTAAGATGTGTCTCTTGGAGGCAGGACACATGCGGATCTTATTTTCATATCCATTCAGCTACCCTGTGTCTTTTGGTTGTAGCATTTAAGCCATTCACATTTAGGGTGATTGTTGATAGATATGTATGTAGTGCCATTTTATTGTTAGACTATTTTCCTCTGGGTTTGTTTCTTTCCTTTTTTCTTCTTCTTTTTAAAGCAAGCCCTTTAACATTTGTTGCACTACTGGTTTGGTGTTAGCAAACTCCTTTATCTTTTTCTTATCTGGGAAGCTCCTTATTTCTTCTTTGATTTTTATATGATTCTTGATATTACTGACTGCACATTAGAAATTGCCAAACTGATACAAAATACTTCAACACACCTAGCACAAACTCATTATTTATATGAAAATATTAAATCTCTATAATCCCCTTCTTTCACAAATCATCACTGAAGCAAAAAAGAAAAATAGTATTTTACTCAGAAAATATTTTCCCCAAGATTTAAAGAATTACTTTCTTTTTTTTTGCTTTAACAATAGCACAAGAAAAGTATGTACTTATCATCATATGTTTTCTTAATACTATCTATATTAAATTATGTAATTATTGGGAAGTTGCCAATTTGAGTAATATTTATTAGTAAATAGTTCATAAAAGTTCCAATTAAAGAAAACAATTGTTCTCACAACAGAAAAAAAATGACACGGGATCTTATGATCAGTTGTGTTCAAAGTATAAATGTGTGATTTCTTACAAGATCTTGATTTATAGTAACAGAAAAAATAAAATCAAAATACACTCTTAAAAATAAATAAAATATCTATAGCCTTTTCTGGACTAGTTAGGGAAAAACAAAGAAAATCATTTCTTGCCTGTGATCTGTAGAAATATTTTTGAAGATTTCTCAGGTCAGACTGATGGGGCTTCTGAAAACAATCTGTGGGTTCTGAGACTTAAATCCTAGAGTTTGTCCATTAATGTCAGTCCTATGCAGATACTAAGTTAATTCTTGTGATGAGGATCTTGGAGTAATTGTAAAAAATGAAAAGTGAAATATTTTGAAAATGTAAAAATTAGCATTAATCACCTCCAAATACATTTTCTGAGAGCAATAGTGCAACACATAGTTTTTACATATTAAAAAATAAGACCAAAACAGCACTGTTACCAATGAATTCTCTCACCTAATCAAGTATTTAAAGAATACCATCCTAACTTCCATAATTTCCCTTAAACTTATCTATTTCCTTGATTATAAAATGTAATCATGAACTGTGAAGTTGCTTTTAATCTTTATAGTGTGACTAACTCCCCTATCAGATACCACTGGGAAACAAATTATAGGTTAGATGCCAACAATATTCTTAAAAAAAGAAACTCCTTAGTTTAGTAACAGCTGCTCTCAATTGATGCTGCTGGACAAAATACAAAAGATGCAGAGTTCAGGTGTGAAGCTTCTAATTCACAAGAAGCCTAGGGAGTCTTGGTTTGATCCTTTATTGTCTTTAATGAGAAGATTAAACTTGTCAGTAATGAATTTTAGAATTGCAGAAACTATCTCCCAAGAAACTATAAATAGAACTAATTTCAAAGTACTTTGTATTCATGTAGATCAGAATCTTGCTGAAATACTTCAGGGTTACTTTTTTTAGGAATTGTGAAACTGATTAGAAAAATCAGCTTGTTTCTTTGCAGCACCTGCTCGGCTCAGTGGTGTGGGAGGTGGCATCAAGACACCCAGGGAACAGGGATACAAAGCATCTATGGGAAGTTAAGAAAAACTATAGAACCATGCACATTTCATAGTGCAGACAAAGACGTGGTGGGAATGCAACTATAGAAAATATCACTGTGGGAGATTCTCAAGGGACAGGTGCAGTGTATACATTCTGGGGTGCGGTTAGGCGAGATTATTACGGAGAGGAACAAGTTGGGAGGTAATCCTGGCAGGGAAATACCAAAAGGGGAGGCTGAAGGAGAGCTCTAGGCTGTAACAACAACTGACGGATCAGGAAATGATAAGGCCTGTTAGGAAAGATGAGGATTGACTTAACGGCCTTACAGCTTTGATCTATAAATAGTGGCTGTGAGGTACCTGACATGTAGACTAAGAGTTTAAATTCTGAGACAGACTGCCTGACACTCCCACTTACCAGTGGTTTGACTTTAGGCGAGTGGTTTAATTTTCTATCCCTCAATTTTCTCGTCTGTGTAATAGGGATAATAATAGTATGTATCAATATAAGTGAAGTGCTTGCATACTTTTTTTATTCTAATGAGACTGATATTCTTAGAGAGAGGATAAATATTTTAAAATATATTTTAAAAATCTAACTATGTTTCTTGCCCTGGCTGGTGTGGCTCTGTGGATTGAGTGCTGACCTATGAACCAAAGGGTCCCCAGTTCAATTCCCAGTCAGGGCACATACCTGGGTTTCAGGCCAGGTCCCCAGTAGGAGACAGATGAGAGGCAACCACACATTAATGTTTCTCTCTCTTTCTCTCTCCCTCCCCTGCCTCTATTAATTAATTAACTAATTAATTAATTAAATAAAATCTTTAAAAAATATGTTTCTCTAGCACAACGGTCAAGATAGATTGAAAACTTTTGACTATGGGCAGAGAACTCAGGCAGTTATTGAAGTAGCCCAACATTTTCCCTTAACACCTATAATTCATTTTACTTCAAAGTAGAATATTGGTCTCATATTTTTATATTTAAGTATTAAGATGACCTTTCATTTTCCCCTGCATGCTAACCAAATGTTTGCATCAGGCTCCTATCCCTAAGCTCTTTGTTACCAATGGCCAAATAAAAGAGTTCGTAACAAACTTTCAGAGTTAAAACCTGATCTTCTGGGTTACTGCCTACAATAGTGCTGACCGCTCATTTGACCTCCATATTTTCTGATAAAGGTCCTGATCTGTATTTGGGTGAAATTGACGACTTTAAGGAACATTGTAGAAATTCAACAAAATAAATGTCTTCTTTGGGTTCTAATTTGATGCATGATAAATTGATAACTTTATTACCACATTTAACCTCTAGAATATCTTTCTTTAAAACATAAACTCAACTGTAAAAATCTAGCGTTTGAAGACATTTACTAATTTGTTGCCATCACCCTTTGTAATCCACAAGGTTTTGAGTTCATAAAAGGGACATGAATTACATGAGACCTAGTATTTCCATGACTGGTGCATGTAATTTCTTTCTAGATCTTCTTTGTACTCACGAGGAAAAACTCTGTGCACAGTGCAGGTTAAACTGCTAAAAAATTCCAATGAGAAGCAAGAAATAAAGATGTAAAAAAGTAAATATGTCATACATACATGTTTATTTTCAGGTAAATAACATTTTCCCTTTCTCTGAAATGAGTTTATCATTTTAAACTTGGGAAATTGGGCAGAACAAATAGATTCTTTACTTTGAAGCAAATCAAAGTTATTTATGTCAAATATTCTACCTAGTAGGTGCATTAGGAGCTGTAACAATTGCAAATAGATACGATAGAAAAGAAATTATGTTTAGTTGCTGATTTTAGCTTCTCCACTAGACTATGAAATCAGAGTTACTTATTTTTCATGTACTGCCATTATTGTTCTCTTGATTTAATATATCTCCAATAAAGAGATGATCAAGCATTATTACAAATCCCACCAACTTTGTAGCATTCATCAATCTACTGACATTTTTCTACTTTAAAGCCCTTAAAAGCAGACTATAACCGATGGTTTATAATTTCTTAAGGAGAATTTATGATTTTATCTTTTTCTACTTTGCCTTAGTAATATTTCAGAAATGCTCAGTCTAATGTAATTCAGCCATAATTGCTGCACCACTAGGAGAAGTCAAACCACGAGTGTCAAAAAAGCTGTGGTAACTGTTATAACCTTGACTTTAGCTTGTCAATGATCTTTTAAGGAACAGCTCAGGACAAAAAATATATAATCTAAACAAACAAGTGATCACAGGGCTTTAGAAAAGGATGTACTTAATTCTTTTGTAATTCAATTGTAATTCATGTTCTTTCTATGAACTCAAAAGAGATAATGCTATAAAAAAAATGGAGAGATGCTTGTGTATAATGAGTACTTGCGTATAATGAGTAGCAACACGTAAGAAAATGAAACTCCTATTAACAAAATACAAATAATTTAGCCGCCACAGCTGGAAAGCTCTAGCTGCAGCGCAGGGTTCTCCCGTTGCTCTGACCCTGTGTTCTCCTCTCTGTGCAGGCCGGCCAGTGATGATCGTGGTGGAGTACATGGAGAACGGGTCCCTGGACTCCTTTTTGCGGGTGAGGTATTCTTTTCTAATGGCATTTGAATAAGCTATTTTGAGTTCTAGATTTAAATCATTTATCATAAATTAATTTTTGCATAATGTGATTCAGGGATTTTTTTTAATGAAGAATAGCAACATTTTCTCTAGGGTGCATTTCTCTGATACAGTGATATATTACTAAGTGTTACTAAATGGGAGAATATACACATAATGTAATTGCTTTCTTTTATAAATTTACTTGCCATGTTAATGTATTTGTATTTCAAATGATGTTATAAAGAATGAGTTAGAATGAAACTTTGTTACTTTACATAGCCATTTATTTTGCCTTCTCAAACTTAACTCATTAGTATATTTTGTGCATTATCTGTAATGCCGAACTCTTTCAATTGTGTATATTGATCAATAATGACTCAGATTAATATCAGAAAACTGGTTTAATCAAGTTTGTCCCTCTTCAGTTCATTTGGCTGACTATTCAGAAAGCAAAGTGCAAAAGAATAAAAGTCTAGCAGAGATTTTTTTCTAGAGCAAAAAATTGTAAAGTCCTTTTTAAAGTGACTTTTCCTTATATGTATGATATATACAAAATCGTTTATTTTATATACATGCATGCCTTGGTGATAATGTGGATTTGGTTCCAGACCATCACAATAAAGCTAATAATCACAATAAAGCAAATCACACAATTATTTTATTTCCAAATACATACAAAAGTTACATTTACACTATACTGTAGTCTGTTAAGTGTGCAATATCATTTTTTCTTTTTTTTAGTATATTTTATTGATTATGCCATTACAATTGTTCTATTGTTCCCTTCATTCCCCTCCACCCTGCACCTCCCACCCCCACCATTCCCCCCCTTTAGTTTATGACCATGTGTCTCAAGTTCTTTAGATTCTATATTTCCCATACTATTCTTGCCCTCCCCCTATCTATTTTCTACCTACCTTCTATGCTATTTATTTTCTGTACCTTCTCCCCCCTTCTCCTTCTCCCACTTCCCTGTTGCTAACCCTCCATGTGATTTTCATTTCTGTGGTTCTGCTCCTGATCTAGCTGTCTTCTTAGTTTGCTTTTGTTTTAGGTGTGGTTCTTAATAACTGTGAGTTTGCTGCCCTTTCACTGTTCATCTTTTTTATCTTCTTTTTCTTAGGTAAGTCCCTTTAACATTTCATATAATAAGGGCTTGGTGATGATGAACTCCTTGAATTTGATCTTATCTGAGAAGCACTTTATCTGTCCTTCCATTCTAAATGAAAGCTTTGCTGGATAGAGCAATCTCGGATGTAGGTCTTTGGATTTCATGACTTGGAATACTTCTTTCCAGCCCCTTCTTGCCTGTAAGGTCACTTTTGAGAAATCAGCTGACGGTCCGATGGGAACTCCTTTGTAGGTGACTGTCCCCTTATCTCTTGCTGCTTCTAGAATTCTCTCCATCATTTTTATCTTGGCTAATATAATTATGATGTGCCTTGGTGTGTTCCTTCTTGGGTCCAACTTCTATGGGACTCTCTGAGCTTCCTGGATTTCCTGGAAGTCTATTTCCTTTGCCAGATTGGGGAAGTTCTCCTTTATTATTCATTCAAATAAGTTTTCCACTTGTGGCTGTTCCTCTTCCCCTTCTGGTACCCCTATAATTCGGATGTTGGAGCGTTTAAAGATGTCCTGGAGGTTCCTAAGCCTCTCCTCATTTTTCTGAATTCTTATTTCTTCATCCTTTTCTGTTTAGTCATTTTCTTCCTCTTTCTGGTCCACTCCTTTGATTTGAGTCCCAGTTTCCTTTCCATTACTATTGGTTCCCTTGTGCATTTCCCTTCATTTCAATGAGTTTAGCCTTCATATGTTCCTCTAATTTGTGACTAAAATCAACCAGTTCTGTGAGCATCCTGATCACCAGTGTTTTGAACTGTGCATCTGAAAGTTTGGCTATTTCTTGGTCACTTAGAGTTACGGGCTCTGGGGCTTTGATTTCTTCTTGAGCCATAATGTTTTGGTCTGTTACGTATGAGGAGTGGAGCTTTAGTTGTTCACCAGGTCAGGGCCACCCAGGTTACTGGCTTGTGACTCTGTATGTGGGGGCGGGGTCAGAGAAGGACAATAGCAGTCCCCTCTGCCACTTCCCACCACTGGGGCCTGCATGGTCTGTCTCACCGCTCGGTCCTTCACCGGTTTATCTGCACTTGAATGTGTGACCGTGGTCAGCCCTCAGTGGGTCCACCCACTACTCCACACCTGGGATTCACCCTTGGCTGCCAGTGTGCCTGGGTCTTGCGCCCAGGTCGGTCCAGTGGATCTTTTCTGCCCGACCCTGCTCTGCTGCTGGCTCTGCCCCTCTTACCGGTTTGGCTGAAGGGTTTGTTGTTGTCAGACTTTCGTGTAGTTCAATTTTCTGTGGTTTGGCTGCATTTTTGTTGCTAAAACTTTGTTGTTTTTAAACTTGGTTGTGCGAGAAGGCCCAGGGCTTCCACCTATGCCTCCATCTTAGTGGAAGTCTCTGCAATATCATTATGTTTACAAAAGCAACATACATACCTTAATTTAAAAATGCTATATTACTAAAAATAAGTGCTAAGCATCATCTGAGCCTTCAGTGTCACAATCTTTTTGCTGGTCTTGCCTCAAGGTTGGTGGCTGCTGACTGATCACAATGGTAGTTTCTGAAGGTTCGGGTGGATGTAGCAATTTCTTCAAATAAGACAATGATGAAGTTTGCCATATCCATCGACTCTTCCTTTCACAAGCAATTTTTCTCTAGCACGTAATGCTGTTTGATAGCATTTTACCCATAGACCGTGTTTGAAAATTGAAGTCCATCCTCTCAAACCCTGCTGCTGCTTTATCAATTAAATTTGTGTACTATTCTAAATCCTTGTTATCATTTCAACAGTCTTTGCAGCATCTTCACCAGGAGTAGATTCCATGTCAAGAAGACACTTTTGCTCATCCATTAGAAGCAACTCCCCAGCCATTAAAGTTTTATCATGGGAATGCAGCAATTCAGTCATATCATCAGGCTCCACTTCCAGTTCTAGTCCCAACACATCTACAGTTACTTCCTCCGCTGAGGTTTTAAACCTTCACATCATTCATAAGGGTTGGAATCAACTTCTTCCTAATTCCTTTTAATTTTGATATTCTGATGTCTTCTCATGAATCATGAGTGATCTTAATGGCATCTAAAATGGTGGATCCTTTCCAGAAGGTTTTCAATTGATTTTGCCCAGATATATCCGAGGAATCACTACCGATGGCAGCAATAGCCATATGAAATGTATTTCTTAAATAATAAAACTTGAAAGTGGACATGACTCCTTGAACCATGGGCTGAAGAATGAATGTTTTGTTACCCGGCATAAAAACATTAATCTCATTATACATCTACAAAGCTCTTGGGTAACCAGATACATTGTCAGGGAGCAGTAATATTTTGAAAGAATTTTTTTTTCAGAGCAGCGGGTCTCAACAATAGGCTTAAAATATTCAGTAAAGCAGGTTGTAAACAGATGTGCTGTCTTCCAGGCTTCGTACTTCCATTTATAAAGCATAGGCAGGGAAGATTTAGCATAATTCTTAAGGGCTCTAGGATTTATGGCATGGCAAATGAGCACTGCCTTCAACCTAAAGTCACTAGCACATTAGCCCCTAACAAGAGAGTCTCTTGTCCTTTAGTGCTGTGAAGCCAGGCATTGACTTCTCTGTAGCTATAAGATCTGTAGAAGGCTATTTCATCTACCCTGACAATCTGTTGTTTAGTACCTTCATTGACGATCTTAGCTAGATCTTCTAGATAACTCGCTGCAGCGTCTTCATTAGCACTTGCTACTTCGCCTTGCCCTTTTATGTTATGTGGATGGCTTCTTTCCTTAAACCGCATGAACCAACTTTTGAAAGCTTCAAACTTTTGCAGCTTCCACACCTCTCTCAGCCTTTGCTTTGTGTTAGGCTTTGGTTTAAGGGAACGTTGGACTGGTTCGATCTTCTGTCCAGTTCATTAGAACTGTTTTTTCATATCAACAATGAAGCTGTTTCACCTTCTTATTACTCGTGTGTTCACTGGAGTAGCACTTTTCACTTTCTTCAAGAACTTTTCCTGTACATCCACAACTTGTATAACTGGCACAAGCCCAGATTTCAGCCTTTCTCTACTTTTGACATACCTTCCTCACTAAACTTTGGTATCTCTGGCTTTTGATTTAAAGTGAGAGACATGCTACTCTTCCTTTCACTTGAACACTTAAGAGGCCATTGTAGGGTTAGTGATTGGCCTAATTTCAATATCATTGTGTCAAAAGATATAACTAAGCTCAAGGGGACAGAGACAGAGAGAGAGAGATCAGGGTGGGAGAGGAGAGAGAGAGAGAGAAATGAGGGACTACCTGATTGAAGGAGCAGTAGGAACACACATAACATTTATTAAGTTCACCCATCATGACACCCCAAAACAATTATAGCAGTAACATTAAAGACCACTGGTCACAGATCACCATAACAAATATAAAAATAATAAAAATGTTGAAATATGGCAAGAATTATCAATATGTGACACAGGGACATGATGTGTGAAAATGCTATTGGAAAACTGGTGCCAATAGACCTGCTTGTCAAAGGGTTGTCACAAATCTTCAATTTCCAAAAAGCAGCATCTGTGAACTGCAATAAAGTGAGGTATGCCTGTGGTGGTACAGAAAGAGCTGAGAAGGCACCATGAAGTTATACTTTAAAATATATTTATAATATGTTTAACATTTCAAAAGCCATCATAGGCAGTAAAAATGTTCATTAATAGTAAAAATATATGAAAAATAATCATAAGGGTCAATATTTTTCATCCCCAGCAGAGATCACATATTTGAATGTCACTGTAGTTTTTAAAATATATCTATCTACAAAGACATAGCCATTTTTCTGACTTACGAACTGACTGGACTTTGGCTATTTGAAATGTATCATGTCACTTTATCCTTCATTTTTATGAGGATAAACCATCTCCAGATTGTTTCTTCACTT